TCCAGCCTGGGCAATAGAATGAGACTCTGACTCATAAATAAATAAATAAATGGACAGGGTTTGGAGACGATCTGGGTTGCTGCACTCATAGAGATGCTGGGAGGGTGGTGCACCTGGAGAAGGCATAGAAGCTCTGTGCCCCTTCCCCATACCTTGCCCAATGTGTCTCTTCCATCTATTGTGTCTTTTATAATAAACCCGTAAACATGAGTAAATGTTTCCGAGTTTGGTGAGCCATTCTAGCAAATTATTGAACATGAGAAGGGGGTCATGGGAACCCCCAACATATGGCTCATCAGTCAGAAGTTCAGAAGGCACAGATGAGATTGGCATCTGAAGTGAGGTCTGATGCTAACTCCAGGCAGATTGTGTCAAAATTGAATTGAGCTGGAGGACATCCCATTGATGACCCCAGAGAATTGGAATCAAAGAATTGCTTGGTGTCAAAAACCTACACATTGGTTGTCAGAAGTGTTGTGTTATAGAGAGGAGGAAACAAGTTTTTTCTATTTAGATGTCTACAAGAAATTTCCATATTGTGCTCATCTCACACCAGCTGGGATGGCCATGTTTTAGTAGTTACTATCTTTCATGGCAAGTTATAATTTTTTTTTTTTTTTGAGACAGAGTCTTGCTCTATCACCAAGCTGGAGTGCAGTGGTGCGATCTTAGCTCACTGCAACCTCTGCCTCCCGGGTTCAAGCAGTTCTCCTGCCTCAGCCTCCCGAATAGCTGGGACTACAGGAGCATGCCACCACGCCCAGCTAATTTTTGTATTTTTAGTAGAGATGGGATTTCACCATATTGGCCAGGCTGGTCTCGAACTCCTGACCTCATGATCCACCCGCCTGAGCCTCCCAAAGTGCTGAGATTACAGGCGTGAGCCACCACACCCAGCCAACAAGTTATAATTTTACATTTAAAGAGTTAAGCCCTTTATATACATCTAGGGACTAGAAAGTACTACTGTAAAGTTACTTCCTAGTTATAAATTATTCATTGACTATATCATTAACCATATAGCACAACTGCAGTTGCATTTTCAGCTCCTTCTACTTGACTGATGTCTACCTCTTTTTCTTTTTTAAATAGAAACAGGATCTCACTATTTTGCCCAGGCTGGTCTCGAACTCCTGGGCTCAACTGGATGTCCACCTCTGGCACAAGGTATACAAGTTATCTATGACTATGTAGCAAATTACCCAAAAATGTAGTGACGTCAAACAACATTTATTATCTTAGATTTATTTTTGGGTCAGGAATCCACGTGCAGTGTAGATATGTCCTCTTGCTCGGGGCCTTTCAAAAAGCTGCAATCAAGGAGTTGGCGTGGGCTGCAAGCCAGCTTGGTCACTTCAAGCCTCCACCGGGAAGGATCAGCTTCTAAGCCCACTCAAGTGGCTGTTGGCAGGCGTCAGCTTCTCTCCCACAGGATATTGGCCTTGCCATATGAGCCTCCACATAAGACTTCTTAAAATATGATAGCTTCCCTGTGGACATGGTAGCTCATGCCTTTAATCCCAGCACTTTGGGAGGCCAAGGTGGGTGGATCACCTGAAGGCCAGGAGTTCAAGGCCAGCTTGGCCAACATGGTGAAACCCCATCTCTTCTAAAAATACAAAAACTTAGCTGGGCATGGTGGTGGGCACCTGTAATCCCAACTACTCGGGAGGCTAAGGCAGGAGAATTGCTTGAACCTGGAAGGAGGAGGCTGCAGTGAGTCGAAATCACACCACTGCACTCCAGCCTGGGCAACAAGAGCAAAACCTTGTAAAAAAAAAAAAAAAAAAAAAAGCAAACAAAACATGGTAGCTTCCTTCTCCAAGAGTGAGGGCTCTAAGAGGGAGAAAGTGGGAGAGAGGGTAAGCACGGTAAAAGCCAGTCTGTCTTTTTGTAATCTAAACTCAGAAATGAATGAAAGCCCATCATTTTTGCCATATTTTGTTTGTTAGAAGCACATCACCAGGTCTAGCCCATGCTCGAGGGAAGGGAATAATCACTGGATGTTATCTTAGGAGTTGCCTACCCTACCAGGATGCCATTTAAGGCCGTGCTTCTCAAACTAACCCTGGTCAAGAACCAGCTAAAAAAAAAAATTCAATTTGTTGCAAGTCAATACTTTTGTAAAATAAAATAGAAATTCAAAAAAAAAAAAATAGAAATTCATTTCTAGGCCAGGCGCAGTGGCTCATGCCCATAATCCCAGCTCTTTGGCAGGCCAAGGTAGGCGGATCACAAGGTCAGGCGGTTGAGACCATTCTGGCTAACAACATGAAACCTTGTCTCTACTAAAAATACAAAAAATTAGCTGGGCATGGTGGCATGTGCCTGCCTATAGTCTCAGCTACTCAGGAGGCTGAGGCAGGAGAATTGCTTGAACCTGTGAGGCAGAGGTTATAGTGAGCCAAGATCATGCCACTGCACTCCAGTCTAGGCAACACAGCAAGACTCTGTTTAAAAAAAAAAAAAAATCATCTTTAGAAATATAAAATGAAATTACAAAGGCATTTTTTAAAAAACCCCAAACCATGGCTTATTTGTTGATGTGGTAATGATGTCCAATTGCTATAAAAATTTCTCTAGGCTGGGCATGGTGGCTCACACCTGTAATCACAGCACTTAGGGAGGCTGAGGTAGGAGGATCGCTTGAGCCCAGGAGTTCAAGACAGGTCTGGGCAACACAGCAAGACTCCATCTCTACAAAAAAAAAATTCTTTTATTCTCAATTCTATTACTTATCTCATTTGGATCAGAAACAAATATTTTACATATGGGCACCAGTTTCCGGTCAACCTTTGAGTAGCACTGATTTTGGGATTTTATGAATGCAGATGACTTTTCAAGGCTTTTACAACACAATGGTTTGGACTTTTCACTTGGTTATTTCTAGATGGAAGATTCTAGAAACAAATCTAAATAGAAGTTTTTCCTTCTAATTTCATTCATCTCTCTCCATGCTCCTAAAAATGGGACTTTTTATTGTGAGTAAAGTCAAGGGTATGTAGGATTAACACTTTCCTGCAAGGGCTTTTAGGGACCTCGTTCCCACCAGTCAGAAGCCACAGAGTTAAGCCACCCTTTTGAAGTGTGTGGTCTGAAAGATATTTAACACAATGATTATCAATTTACCGTGTACAATAGTGAGGGGTCAGCCCACTTCCCAACAAATGTTAGAAGTTTGAATGCACTTCCTGTTCCTAGTCTATTCATATTTATCAAAATACATCTTAAGAGTAACCTCCTCAATTCAACTAATAAATATATTTTTTGAGCATCAACTGTGTGCAAGACTCTGGAGGGCACCACCTTGAAGAAGGCACCGCCTCTACTCTCAGCTGGTTTATAGCACTCCCTATATAAACCTTGAAGTAATTTACATCTAAGTATTTTGGCAATTGAGTGCATTATTTCTCTTGTTTCTTAGCGTTTCACAAATTTTTAACTCATCACCCTAATGAAACCATAAACTTAAGGAACAAAAGTACTCCATTTCCCATCCTTCATGCCTTCAGCACAGGATCAGGCAGTTAGTAGGTCCTCAGTAAAAAGATGAAGGCAGCATTTACTATGCCAAGACTCCCCTAGAGTCCCCTGTTCAGAGGCTAAATGCTGTCAATGGGGTCTTGGTAACCTCACAATCACCTTTCTTCATCCTCTTTACCACCCCAACCCATCCTCCAAGGCTTAACACAGAAGAAGCAACTTAAGAAGTCTGCTTCTGCTGCCCTGGCCCCTATTCTTTTCTCTCCTTACTACACTAGTCCAGGAGAGGGAAGAGAAAGCCAGGTGGAAGAAGGGGCCTTTTAAAACAAGCCTTGCTCAACTTTTTACACAACTGCCCACTCTCAGTTGGGCATCCCCTTGTATCCCCTTTTCTTCCAAAGAAGGGAGCTAAAGTTAGCAAAACCTACCCTGGCAAGGCCCAGTGCCAGGTACTGTGCATGCACAAAGGTGAACCAAACAGGTTCCTTGCCCTCAAGAATGTACAATGGGCAAATCAGACCGATTCTCATCTACAACAGAGTAGAATGGGGCCAACTGTTACAATGTTGGCAAACGGAGAAAGCACTGTGGAACAGATGGGGGAGAGATTAATGCCAACTGGTGAAAATTCAGAGGATGTAGCTTTGGAGCTAAGCCTTGAGGGTGAGTAATACAAACAACGGGTAACAGAGAGCACTTCCTACCTATGCAGTGCTGTGGTCGGTAGTCGACATGCATTATCTCATTTGGGGTTCACAAAAGGTCTGCGGGGGAGGTGCTATTATTAGTCTCATTTTACAGTGAGGAAACTGAGGCACAGAGACAAGAAGAGATTTGTCCAAAGTCCCCCCTCAAGTGGAGAGGGGACTTGAACTCACTCAGGGTAACTGTAGAGCTAGTGCTGTCAATCCTCAAGGAAACAATGGATAAGGAGCAAAGGTTACCAGGAGATCTAGTAGTATGCGGAGCACGCCCAGAGAAGAGGGGTCTGTGAGGCTGGGACAGGGGTGTGCAGAAGGGTGGGGTGACTGATCCCAACGGCAACAGTGGAATTTATATGTGAAACTCCTAACTTTACACAAAGTATTTCGTCTGATCTCATCACATCCCTGTTTGACAGGCGCTGTGATCCTCGTTTTACAGACAGGGGAACTGAGACAGAGCTGTTACTCTTGCCCACTGTGCCTGCCAAGTGTCCTCACGTGGATGGAAGCCTTTGCAAGCTGCCAGGCGCCTCGCAGCTGCCCAGTCAGTCACCCTCCGCCCAGTCTACACATCCTGTCCCTTCCCACCCATCTACCCCCCATGGAGACCCCCACCCCAACTCCGGCTCTTGGCTTTCAGCTAGGATGATCCGGCTTACGGCCACAGGGTGGCAAGGCGCCACTTGGTGCCCAGAACAACTTCTGCTCCCAGAAAGCCTTGCGTTCCCCGGACATAAAGAAGCTTTGAGCTCGGGGAGCTCCTCCCCGCGCGGCCCCTCCCACGGGCACGGGCCCCGGGCAGCAGGAGGGGCGTGTTCCTGGAGGCAGCACCCGCGGCCCGGGGCGGAGCTTGGCCACAGTATAGGGCTGCGGGCGGCCGGGCGAGGCGCTCGGCTCGCAGGTGGCTCCTCCTTCGCTTTTCCCGATCCCCGTCTGCGCCAGGCACGGTGCCGGCTGGCGCGGGAACGCCTTTGTGCCAGGTCCTGGGAACCCGCAACGGCCGCTGCGCGTCCCGGCTCATTGCTCCGCTTCTCCGGGTTCCAGGCAGGTGCGAGCGGCGCGCGGGATCCGCACGTGTCACCGCGGCGGCTGGGGCGCCGGGACTCGCGGGCGCCTGCAGGGGCGTTCCCGGGAGCTCGACGGGCTATGAAGCACCTGAAGCGGTGGTGGTCGGCCGGCGGCGGCCTCCTGCACCTCACTGTTCTGCTGAGCTTGGGGGTGCTCCGCGTAGACCTGGACTTCTACCTGCTGCTGCCGCCCCCCACCCTGCTCAGGGACCAGCTGCTGCTCCTGGGCGGCCCGGCCAGCTCCGCCTATGCGCTCAGCCCCCTCCCCGCCTCGGGAGGGTGGGGGAGCGCGGGCCAGCTGCACCCCAAGGGCCGGGAGCTGGACCCCGCCGCGCCGCCCGAGGGCCAGCTGCTCCGGGAAGTGCGAGCGCTCGGGGTCCCCTTCATCCCCCGCACCCGGGTGGATGCCTGGCTGGTGCACAGCGTGGCGGCAGGGGACGCGGACGAGGCCCACGGACTTCTCGGCGCTGCAGCCGCCTCGTCCGCCGGAGAAGCCGGCGCCAGCGTGGACGGCGGCGGCCAGGCTGTGCAGGGGGGCGGCGGGGACCCCCGAGAGGCTCGGAGTGGCCCCTTGGGCGCCGGGGAAGAGGAGAAGGTACTCGCGGAACCGACGGCTCAGGTGCGGGACACCGGCGGATGCGCGAGCGAGGTAGGTGCAGAGCGGGACGCGAGCAAAGTGCGGCGTCTTCGCCGCCGGGAGCCCCCGAGGCTTGTGTCGGACCTGGGCAGGGGGCACACCTGCTGTATCCTGGCACCCTTAGCCCCTGAGTGTTGCGAGTTCGCAGACGCTGCTGCTCTGATTCCGAATGAAGAGCTACTAGTGCTGTCGCTGTGGATTTTAGGTTTTTAAGGAAGAAGTGGACGAAATCATCCGTTAACAACTTTCCTTGTGTTTGATGGCTGACAAGGGTCGTTCGGGGATGGGGAGGGGAGAAGCAATACCCAGTGTCTTCACTCAGCACTTCATGTACACTGGGATGTCGTTTTCTGGGATCCGTGCCCGACCGGACGATATGAAGGAGGCCTTGGCTCTGGGAGGATACGCGTTTTTAAGAACGACTCTCCCAGCCTAACACAAGGGCCCTTTCCCTGATTTCAACCCAATTACTGTTATTTGCTGCTTTCCTGGATTAAGGTGCCATGGTGAGGGTCTACTCAGAGGCCAGCTGGCAGGCGGTCCCCCTGTGACCTAACCATCCGCCCTCCCCGCCCCCACCCCCAGCACCTAGCAATCCTCCTTCCTGGAATTTGTGTAACCTCTTATTAGCATAAAGAAAACAGGTACTTTAACAGTGACCTAGTGACTAACAAGTTCCCTTTGGTGTATGGGTGCAGACCTTTCTCTGGCTTCACTTCTTTGTGAAACCAAGTTTACCTAGATCTGTTGAAGTATCTGGTGCTCCCCATGGAGAGTTTGAGTTCAGTATAACTACACTTTAACACCAATTACCACAAAACCATTTTATCCAAAGTTCCTTCCAGGAGACTTTCAAAATTTTTCCTTGGCTCAAACTTTAGTGTTTACAGCTGGTATCGATCAATAAGTGGTGATCTACAAGTCTTCCTCCAGTGTTGTTTTTGTGGGGTGCATTCTTATGCAAAATGGGAATTGGGGCTGAACTGGTTTGTTTGCTGCTGTTGAGAATTGTTGTTTGTGTAGGCAGTTGCCCGACTAGCTTCTCCACCCTCTCCTGCAGGGGTCATTGTGTGGAAGTGCTTGGTGATTGACTGTTATGCTGATCTGAGCCCTTCCTCTTCCTGGGGACCAGAACTAATGGGGTGGGGGCCGGTGTGAGTCGTGGAGGGATCCTTCTGTGTTCAGAATATACAGTGGGAGTTTCTTTCCTGTTCACTCATCCAGTCTGGACCCTGTGGGGTCTGTCTAACCTTAAATGGTCTGCCCTCTAATAAGCGGGTACCTGCTGCACTACCACCTTTCCTGGTTCTGTAACACAGGGTTGAAACCTAGTGCTGGATGCTGTACCAGACGGCACCCTGCCACCCATACCCGAATGTCAACCTGTGTGCAAAGTGTACAGGGACCTGGAGGGAGGAGAGAAGAAGCCCTTCAGTCCTCAGAAACTTCCCTCCTGGCATCACCTGGGAGACAACGTGGCCTTCCCTTAGTTGTTTTTTTTGTTTGTTTTGAAGACAGGGTCTTGCTATGTCACCTAGGCTGAAGTGCAAAGGCAAAATCATGACTCCCTGCAGCCTCAACCTCCCCTGCTCCAGTGATCCCTCCACTTCAGTCTCCCAAGTAGCTAGGACAACAGGTGTGCACCGCCACATTGGCTAATTTTTTTTGCAGAGACAGGTCTCACTGTGTTTCCTAGGCTAGTCTCAAACTCCTTGGCTCAAGCAACCCTCCCGCCTCAACCTCCAAAAGTGCTAGATTTACAGGCATGAGCTACCAAGCATGGCCTAGACAGGCCGGCCTGCCTTTGAGGCAGCTCTTGAGCCTGGGCCTGCCAAACCACCTTGGAGGCTCTTAGTCCAGATTTCCTGGGGAAGAAAATGAAGCTCCCCCAGAGCCATTCTCTTGGCAGTGCCTTCCTGGCGGGGCTGGCATGTGTGCACCATGTTCACTGCTGGGATAACCTGGTTATATTCAATCTGTCAGGCACCTTAAGTTCTCACGGCCAGTTCATCTTTGTTGCCTTTTACATCAACCTTGTGTGGTGCCCTGGCCAGACATCCTTATATCCAATTTGTACTTAAGAAAAAGAGGACTGTGCGTGGTGGCTCACACCTGTTATCCCAGCACTTTGGGAGGCAGAGGCGGGCAGATCACTTGAGGTCAGGAGTTTGAGACCAGACTGGGCAACATGGCAAAACCCTGTCCTTACTAAAAATACAAAACTTAGTTGGATGTGGTGGTGCGCGCCTGTAGTCTCAGCTATTCCCAAAGCTGAGACATGAGAATCAACCTGGGAGGCAGAGGTTGCAGTGAGGTGAGATTATGCCACTGAACTCCCGCCTGGGTGATGGAGTGAGACTCGGTCTCAAAAAGAAAAAAAAAAAGAACTAGAAGCCCAGGTTAGGGATTTGGCAAAAGCCACCTGTCAGTTCCAAAAGAGGGACCAGAGTCTGAGGCTCCTGACTCCCCTAAGTACCTACGCTGGCACATTAAGTACCTACACTGTACTCAGGCTCTCTGGACATCTGGGACATCTCAGTGCATCTGGGATGAGGTAACTCAGTCTCCTACTGCTCAGGCTAACTACTCTCCAGTGCTAGACTGTGCCATTCATAATGAAGAGGTTGCAATTTGGAACCATGACTTTGAGAGAAAATGGGCTGGAAAAACATCATTGGTCTTTGCAGTCTGCTAGACCTGGGTTTGGGAGCATCACCTGCTAGCATGCCCTCCCACAGGCTGCTTGAATTATTCCAAGCCTCAGTGTCTCATGTCAAGTGGGAGAGGAATGTGTGCTCCAGAGGGAGTTGTGCTGAGTACGTGAGAAAAGCCCAAGGGAAGGGCAGCACGGTGCCTGAATCGTAGCTTCTCTTTACTGCCCTTTGTCTTTTTTTTTTTTTTTTTTTTTTTTTTTGAGACAGAGTCTTACTCTGTCACCGGGTACCAGGCTGGAGTGCAGTGGTGCGATCTCAGCTCACTGCAACCTCCACCTCCTGGGTTCAAGCAATTCTCCTGCCTCAGCCTCCTGAGTGGCACGTGCCACCATGCCCAGCTAATTTTTTATTTTTATTTTTTAGTAGAGACGGTGTTTCACCATGTTGGCCTGGATGGTCTTGGTCACTCGACCTCGTGATCTGCCGGCCTCACGTTCCCAAAGTGCTGGGATTATAAGCGTGAGCCGCCACGACCGGCCTCTGCCCTCTGTCTTTAACCCACCTTCCTTCACCTGTCCCCTCTCACTGGATTCCTTTTGGCTTTTTTGCCTAATATCTAGTTTGGTTGGTTATGAAAGGAGTGGGGTGTGCTGGAGCCAGACTGCCTGGTTTTGAATCCCAGCTCTGCCACTTCTGTGACCCTGGACAAGTTGCTTAACCTTTCTGTGCTTCATTCTCCTCCTCTGCACAATGGGAATCAGAAAGGTGCTTACCTCAGAGGGTTGATGTGAGCATTAAAAAGTGCATTCCATGTAAAGAGCTTAGAACTTGCCTGTCACTTGAGTGCTTCGTGAATTTTAGCTACTGTTAACTTCAAAGAGAGGAAGTGCTTTGTCCCAAAGGAACACAATTTTTTTTAAAAAATAGATACTTCCAGTGGCTTACATTACAGCAGGAGCTGTTTTATACTATAATTTTCCATAATTTTTGTACATATGCAAAAATATTTTGGAGTAGGGGATTTTTCAAGTATCAAAAGGAGTACTGCTGTGGTTTCACTTCTTACTGGTGCTTATCATTATCTGAAAACAGACTCTGGAATTCCCCAGGACCGACAGGCTTCCCTTCATAACCACAGTTATTCACAATGGATGAAGCATGCATTCTTCAAAGTAACACACAGGTTAAACAAATGAACAGTTTTTGTAGAACTGAATGTATAAACGTACTTGAAGATGGAACAGCTGCCTATAGCCAGCTTCAGTATTTCAGAGAGCTGTTACCACTTTGAAACTGAGAGGGCTTATGGTCATTTTGATGTGGCTTTCTATCCTGGTATGGAGACTTTCTTCTGGGTGAGGGGTCTGGTAAGACCTCTTAATTAACTGCTTGAAGAAACTGTTGGACTGGGCCGGGCGCAGCGGCCCCGTAATCGCAGCACTTTGGGAGGCTGAGGCAGGGTGATCACAAGGTCAGACCTAGACCATTCTGGCCAACACAGTGAAACCTCGCCTCTGCTAAAAGTACAAAAATTAGCTGGTCGAGGTAGTATGCGCCTGTAGTCCCAGCTACTTGGGAGGCTGAGGAAGGAAAATCGCTTGAATCCAGGAGGCAGAGGTTGCAGTGAGCCAAGATCGCGCCATTCCACACTGGGCAACAGAGTGAGACCCCACCTCAAAAAAAAAAAGAAACTGTTGGGCTGGTTTCTTCAGGACCCAGAGAGAATCTGATCCAGTCTCTCTCTCTCTCTCTCTCTCTCGCGCGCTCTCTCTCTCTCTCTCTCTCTATATATA